CGTCCCCTAAGTTTCCTATCTGATCTTTTGAGTTGCTGTTGTTAATTTGATCCCATATGGATAGTTTTAAAAGAGGACAATGCTCAAGGCAGTGTGAGTCAAACCTTTTAACTGAAACTCACCTCCGGAGTTCAGGGCTGCCATGTACAGCAGTGAAGGCTGTGCACTGCACAACTCCAGGAGTGTCATTCACACAGAATACGATGCGAATGGTGCCCAGTGGGATTTCACAGTACATCAGCCCTGTCCATGTTAGCGGAATTACTTGCTCTGGATCCAGACCTCATTTTAACTTAGCATCTGGTCTAGATACACAGACCTTCATCAGTATACATATTTGGACACTACGCTCATCTAGTTATTTAAGTATTCTGTTAACTTGTTAACCAGAAATCCTATTTTTCTGGTTTTAACCTCTGATGAAAAAAACCCAAACTCTTCCTGAATAGATGTAGAACAAGCTAATGATTGAATCTGTATTTGATGATTAACAGAATCTTACAGGACCTTCTCCGAGTGTGTGTTAGGGCGAGTGTGTGTGTGTGGAGGGAATGGAGAGTGGGGAGGTGGGTAGTGGTTACATTCTGAACATTAATTCTCTTTATCTGGGATGTATCTTTAAAAGGTAAAGATGTTATGATTCTTCTTATATGAAATGTTCAGAATAGGCAAATCCACAGAGACAGGAAGTAGATTATTGATTGCCAGGGGCTGGAAAGGGGAAGGGAGGGACTGCTAGTGGATACTAGGTTTTTTTGGGGGGGATTGATAAGAATGTTCTGGAATTAGATAGTAGTGATGGTTATACAACTCTGTGACTAAATTGTACACTTCACAATGATAAATTTTATGATATGTAAATTATATCTCTATTGAACAGTATCATTAATATCACATGCAAGTAAAATTTTGCTGAAGGTCATTCAAAACTGGCTGCAGCAGTATATTGACAGGGAACTGCCAGAAATTCAGGCCAGGCTGAGAAGAGGACGTGGAACCCGAGACATCAGTGCTGATGTCAGATGGATCCTGGCTGAAAGCAGAGAATACCGGAAAAATGTTTACCTGTTTTTTATTGACTATGCAAAGGCATTTGACTGTGTGGATCATAACAAATTATGGGTAACATTGTGAAGAATGGGAATTCCAGAACGCTTAATTGTGCTCATGAGGAACCTGTACATAGATCAAGAGGCAGTCATTCAAACAGAACAAGGGAATACTGCGTGGTTTATGTCCTTACACCATACTTATTCAATCTGTATGCTGAGCAAATAATCTGAAAAGCTGGATTATATGAAGAAGAACAGGGCATCAGGATTGGAGGAAGACTCATTAACAACCTGCGTTACGCAGATGACACAACCTTGCTTGCTGAAAGTGAAGAGGACTTGAAGCACTTACTGATGAAGATCAAAGACCACAGCCTTCAGTATGGATTACACCTCAATAAAAAGAAAATAAAAATCCTCACAACTGGACCAATAAGCAACATCATGATAAACAGAGAAAAGATTGAGGTTGTCAAGGATTTCATTTTACTTGGATCCACAATCAACACCCACTGAAGCAGCAGTCAGGAAATCAGAAGACGCATTACATTGGGCAAATCTGCTGCAAAAGACCTTTTTAAAGTGTTGAAAAGCAAAGATGTCACCTTGAAGACTAAGGTGCGCATGATCCACACCATGGTATTTTCAATCGCATCATATGCATGTGAAAGCCGGACAGTGAATAAGGAAGACCCAAGAAGAATTGATGCCTTTGAATTGTGGTGTTGGCGAAGAATATTGAATATACCATGGGCTGCCAAAACAACGAACAGATTTGTCTTGGAAGAAGTACAACCAGAATGCTCCTTAGAAGTAAGGACGGCGAGATTACATCTTACATACTTTGGACATGTTATCAGGAGGGATCAGTCCCTGGAGAAGGACATCAAGCTTGGTAAACTACCAAGCGGAAAAGAGGAAGACCCTCAAGGACATGGATTGACACAGTAGCTGCAACAATGGGCTCAAGCATAACAATGATTGTGAGGATGGCGCAGGACCTGGCAGTGTTTTGTTCTGGCATACATAGGGTCGCTGTGAGTCAGAACCGACTTGACAGCAACTAAAAACAACTAATTATATCTCAGTAATGCTGTTGTTAAAAAAAAAAAAGTAAAAAGACACTGAATCTTTCCTGACCTCAGGACATCCCTGAAGCTATTTTTTCCAAAGAAGGAACCCTCCTGAGCTTTTGCATGATTTTCTTTTTTGCCTGAAGGCAGAGCTTGGTGATAGTTGTGGGCCCTGGAGCTAGTTCACCTGTTGTTACAAACCAGCCTAAGAATCCCAAGACTATCACCTCAGTCTCATGTTTTGCTCCAAGTGAACCTAAATCTGCTAAGCTCCCACACAGCATTCTTTCATGGATTGCTCCTAAGACAAAACAACGCAGGTTTGAGATTCCTTCTGGTCAGGTCTTCCGTCTCCAGCCCCAGTGGACCATCTCCTCCTAACAGGGGCCTGCAGTGTTGGCTCCATCCCAGCCTCCTGAGCCCAGCGGTCATAAATTCATCCAGACTCCTGAACTGCCTCACATTCTGTCTGCAGCATCTACAGGGAAGCGAGTGTCACACTTCTCCCTCTGTTTTGTCCTCAAATCATCAAGGTAGTTGCAGGTCCTCGTATTTTGGAATTTATCTTATTGATATAGTCACAAGAGAAGAGGAAATGCTCAGTGGGAATGCCACTGAGGGGGCTTCTGAGACCACCAGACCAGGCCTCCTCAGCCCCTGCACTTCCCCCCCCACAGTGAGTCAGCCTGCGTCTGCGTCCTTCCTTGTTGCTGGCCTGATTTGGACCATTTAACACCGAGCTACATTTATGTAAAGGAGCCCTGGTGGCACAGTGGTTAAGAGCTCAGCTGCTAAAAGAAATGCTGGCAGTTCAAACCCACCCAGCAGCTCCACAGAAGAAAGACCTGGCGATCTGCTTCCGTAAAGATTGCAGCCTAGGAAACACTATGAGGCAGCTCTGTTCTGTCATATGGGATCGCTAAGAGTCAGAATCCACCCAAGGACACTCAACAATAACAACAAATTTATGTAAAACTTCTAGAGCAGGGATCGTCTTCACAGCTCAACTGTGACTCTAAATTAGGTGGGTTATGCAAGATCTTCAGCTAACTGGATTTTTTTTTTTTTTTTTTTTTTGCTTTTGTCACTTTTTATTTTTTGGAAAATATTTTCTTTTTATTTTTTTTTTTTTTTGGTAAAGAATTTACTGGGTCTTTCCTTTGCAAAATGCATTTGCCAGGTGATCCTGGTGGCTGGGATCCCAGAAATGGATTTGTCTAGACTGTTCTCCTGCAGACATTTTTCAGCCCTTGCATTCAGAAGGCACAGTAGCAAGTGCACATGATGGGCCAGCATTTTTCCTGAATTGCTTTTCTTGTTGCTGGCACCTTGTGGCTTAGACTAGCCCTACTTGTGGGCATCATGGGATTGAGGTTACACAGCAATGGATACCGACATCTGTGAACAGGGGAGACATGGCACAAGCTTGTCCTGGGCTCAGCCAAGTGCTGACAGCCACCCCCACACCCCAACGTTCTGCCTACTTCTGAATCCTGCCAGTAGGACGAGAATGTGGCAGAGAGGGTAAACTGTGACTTGGAAAATGGCAGTAGGTTGCTTCTACAGACTAAGCCAGGACTAAGACATGGTGAGAAACAGCTGGGCTTTCGGCAGGATTGTGAACTGCCTCGTCTCCCAGGGACCTGCCTCAGCCCAGTCTAATCAGGTCTAATCAGGTTAACCCCCGAGGGGCAGTGACAGCAAACACTGATGTAGCACTGTGTGCTGGTGCTTTTATGAACACGTTACGTATACTAACCCATCTAATCCTCAAAATAGCCTATGCCATTGGTATAGTTGTCCCCATTTTAAAAATGAGCAGACTGAGGCACGGAGAGGTTGAGCCCAGGTCACACGGCACCCAAGTGGCAGAGCTGCTACTGGAGCCTGGGCAGTGCCTGCTCCTTGCTGCACAGCCATTCAGAGATGTAACTGGAGTTCCTCCTCTGAGCAGGCTCCAGTGACCCAACCCATCAGTGCTCTTTCTGGTCACCTGAGAAGAGGCAGCTTGAGTGTGTGGAGTTGCCCTTCTTGATTTGGCTACATTGAAAAGCTGAATCACTGAGTGCTAATCCCAACCTCCAAACACTCTCCACAACAGGGAATTAAGGCAGCCACAATCCAGAATGGGAATCCAAATTGCATTAGTAACAGGCCGAGTAAGGCTCTTGATCTGTGCAAACTCTTTGTGCTTTACCCAGAATTGAAAGCTGGTTCCCGTCATATATGAAAGCGGGAAATGTCCAGGTCAGAACGGGCCTTTCTTCAGAGGCCCCAGGGCCTGGAAACCAAGGGTTCCAGTGTGAGCTTGCAGGATAATCCTATTCTAAGACTTCAAGATTCCCTAATTGCGCTGAAATGTGGTATCACTGCAAACAGGATTATGTAGAAGAATGGGCCGGGTGTGGTGGTGACAATGGTAGAGGTATGGGCAGCTGTCCTATTCAGGGACTTTCCCAGTAACGTATGGACTGGGGCATTCTTCCTTGTTGCCCCAGCTTGACTCTTGGCTTACAGTAGATGCTCAATTAAGGCCTGTTGACCTGAGTTGTTCCAACAAGACTTGACTTCATGATGCTATGTGGCAAAACTGCACACATTTTGCAAGAGCCCTGTTACTGACTGTGGAGGAGCCCATGAGCAACACGATGTTTCCCAGCCACAAGCTGGCCGCTATAGATGCATCAGTGACACTCAGCAGCAGCTCTGGCCACCTGAGTATGCCCACCTGCTTCAGGGGTTCATGCGGGCTGAAAGAAGCAAGGAAAAAAAATTCAATTCAGTCACCCCAGGCCACCTCTAGAAGAACAACAGCTCCATCAGTAAATGCCACTTCATAATACAAGAAAGGAATGAATGAACACACGGATCCCGGTAGAAATACTGTATTCATGTTTGAGGACTCTGCTATGTTTTAAGGCAAATGTCACACATACGAAACAGTCGGAGATGAACAGTGTTTGAACAGCATTTATGACATGTTAGAAAGAATAGCAGAGGGGGACATGTTCAGATAATGAGAAAGTGAGAGTTTCCCCAGTTGGGTGACTCCTGGTCTGCCAGCTCCTCTTGTGGACATGGCTCCTGGAAAACAGAGAGAAAGGGTATCTTCTCCCTCCTCTTCTCGTCTCCAAGGGGAAGGGGACTGATTGTCTGAATTTTATACAGAAGCACCTTCCCTAGACCCCAGCATGCTTCTTCCCACATTTCCAGCTACAAGATGTAGAACGCTGTCACTGTGCTATCTACCAGCTTGAACTCCCTCCCATTGAGAACTTCATCTGTTGATACGGTAAAATCAGGATGGCAAAGCCATACAACATGCAGTGTTTTGTTCACCTCTATCCAGACTCAAACTTCCTTGTATTGGCGCTAACTCTATATGGAAGAAGGAAGGAGAAGCTGTACCGAAGCCTGAAAAATAGTGAAGGTTCACTTGCAGTTTTGGAATCAAACCAAATGTGATTGTTTTCCCTTTGAGAACAGAAGCGTGTTAGCAACAAGCTCCAACCAGAGGGCAAAAGTTTGCAGGCACCTCTCAGCTCAATTCCCATTTCCTCCTGGCTTAACAGGACACTGGAGTGGCTTAGCTGGTCTACTGCTGGGCTTCTCACAGCCAAGGTTAGCTCTGTGCCCAGCAGGGCTCCTTCCCATTCCTTCTGCTCAGGCACAGGCCCCCAGTTTTAAAATGGGGAGAGGCCGGTGGTCTCTGACCCAGCCACCCATTTCATCGCAATGGTGTATGCCCCTTCTTAGGGCCTGGGTGACTCACAGCAACTGGGAAAAGGGGATGAATGAGGCTGAAAATCTGGGGACCTTAATGGCCTGTTGTGGGGTAGCAGGAACAGTGCCTGGGGCTGGGAGTCACGGTGAAGTTGGGTACCCAGGAATGTGGTGGAAGGTGGGGTACTTAATTCATTAAAATTTGAAGAACATCAGGAGGGGCTATATTAGATGCTATAAAACCACTGCATAAACAAGTGACATGATAAAAGTCTGCCAACGTACACAGAGAACAAGCTCCTGCTCATGAAAGCTGGCTGCCCACGCACATGAGGCCTCCATGCAGCAATGTTGCCACTTGGGTAGAAAAAAATAAGAGTCCATGGGTACTATCAGCACTTGATATACGCGAAGCGAAACAGTCATTTGCACAGATTCACTCAGTTTGCCCCACCAAATCCCTCTGAGGTAGGCAGGAGGCCGGTGACATTAGCCCCATTTTACAAATGGGGTAAAGTGAGGCCCCAGGACTTGCTGCAGGTCACACCAAGAGCCACAGTAAGACAGCGGTACTGCCTTTTTGGTCTTCTCTCCCACTGGAAATACACGGTCTTCTCCACGAAACAACTCATCTAGACTGAGACCAAGTCAGCAGGTAACTGGAGGAATGTGGACCATTGCGCTTAAAATTTTGAACTTTGATGCACTGGCAGGAACGGAGGGTTTAAGTTCTATGGAAATTAGCCAAAGCCAGGGGTCCTGGGAGTGGAGACGCCCCCACCTCAATTAGTGGGGTGGTGGTTGTTTTTGTGGTGTTTGCTTTTTGTTTGCCTTTGCTGCAATGAAGCATTGTAAGGAGGGCCTAGCTGAAGTAAAATAATGCACTGATCAGCCAACGAGGGTGCTGAATGTGATGATCACATCACACCTCCCCAGAGGCAATCTTGCTCTGGCCCGTCGCCAAATCAGAGTTGCTGGAGATAAAGCTACAGCGTTGTCAGAGGCCCAGGGCTGCATAGAGAGGGGGGACAATTGTGTACATACTTCCATTCCTGTTTCGGGTACTTCCCTTCCCCCTGCAAGCTGCACTCCCTCACCCTTCTGTGACCTCAGAATTTACATTGTTCACTTAATACCAATGGTCAGGGACCCAAGCATGCTAACACCCATCTGTACAGTCTGCCTCCAGCAACTAGAGAATCAGAAGCCAACCCCCACCTTGTTGTAGTACAGACTCTTGAAAACACTTCCAGTGCCAGCCCAGCGCATTCCAGCCAAGGCTAAGAATTTGGGAATTTTTCCTATTACTACCGCTCACGAGGCAATGCAACAGATGACAGTGAAAGCCCTCGGTTTGCCCAGAAAGCACCCAATGCAGAGCTGGCTGGGTGCAAAGAAGAATACACCAGCATTTTCACAAGCCTGAACCACCAGGTCCCCGTGAGTCCATTGTTTCCCAGTGCCTGGCAGCTCAATGGTGTGTTTCCAAACAGATCCTCAGTGTTAACACGGTTGCAGCTGGGCATGGATCAAGCCAAATGACAGAGTGTCCTGGTCCTCGGTAACCAGTTCCATGGGGAAGCCCAATGCCAGATCATCCTCGAACTGGTCACTGGGCCAAAGCATTGCTCAGGAGGTTCAAGTTGGCGAGGGCAGTGGCCCATGTCCAGTGGCTGGACTGACAGGGTGGGGTGCCCCTGCTGGCAGGCAAGCCCGAAACCCAGCCCCCATCACAGAACTGACTCCTTGGATTCCAGTTCTGAGGCGGTGGATGCAGGGCCAGCGGGGTTCTGGTGAGTCACCAGAGGGGACGTCTCTTCTTCCGACTTGCTGTTGGGGAGGGCTTCCACTTTCACCTCGCTCAGTTCCTGCTCTCCTTTCTTCATGGCCTTCTGGTTCAGGTGATGGAGAATGCCTGCACCCACGGCATCCCCTTCCACGTTCACCACGGTGGTGGTGCGGTCCCTGGTGGGAAAAGAACAAAAGACAGGTGTGACATCCAATGCTGCCTGCGGCTACCAGGGGAGACAGCCCTGTCACATCCACCTGAATGGCCACGGAAAGTGACTGTGAGGGGAGAGCATGACATTCAAGGTATAAGGCCTTCAAAAAAAAAACAACAAAACTGTTGCCATCGATTTCAACTCATAGTGACCCTAAAGGACAGAGTAGAACTGCCTGGTGGATTTGAACTACCAACCTTTTGGTTAGCAGCCGAGTTCTTACCCACAGGGCCACCAGGGCTCCTATAAGGCCTTACCTTACTCTAAATTGAGTTCCTTTAAACATTTGTTATTCTTATAAAAGTAATACACCCTCATTATGGAAAACCGGGACAAAAGAGAAGTATAAAGAACAAAGCAAAAGTCACTCACCCATACTCCACAACCTCAAGAGATTCAGAATTAACATTCTGATCTATTTCCTGCCAGTCATTTTTCAATACATATGTTTTATGTTTAATAACACCATCAGACAAAAATTACATATAATCGGAATGAGAGCATATACAGTTTTGTGTCCAGCTTTTTTCCACCCAACATTATACTGTGGGAGTTTCCCTTCTTTTTCCTCAGTTCAACACTGCATACAACTGAATGTTAATCTTCACATGCATTCCATGGCTGCTCGCTAACATGTCGTCCCAGAAAATGGCACTATCCTTTCCAGAAGTTTCATCATCTTCCCATAGATTAACTCAGAAACCACCCTGCAGTCCCTGGCTCTCAGAGGAAGTGCTGTGCCCATTTTGAAGGGAGGGAAAAACACGTGAACTTGGCCACGGGCACTGGAGAGGCCGGGGCCCTGCGGAGGCTCTGAGCTGCGAATCAGAGACTTATCAGCCTTGGCTGGGGCTGGTGTGACTCAGGCCTCTACTGGACAGCCTGCTTGGTGTTGTTTCCCTGTTCCTGGCTAAGCACCGCTTAGGTGCCCACCTTCTCCATGCAGAAGAGGCAGCTGCGTGAGGAAGGAGATGGGGCATTGGGCCCTCTGCTCTGGCCTTGTCCAACTTGCTAGCTGTGGGACCAAGTTCCCTTTGATGAGTTGTCTGGATGGAGGGGATGTCTGCTGCACATTTCACCCTTATTGCTCTCAGGAGCCTGAAGGACTCTCAGAAGCCTCTTCAAGCCTTCGGGGCTTTAAAAAAAAAAAAGGAAGGTGGGAACCACCACTCCTGACCACCATGGGCAGAGCCACAAGCCCAGTGCAGGTACCTGTCTCAGTTACCTCGTGCCTGGCTCTCACTGGCTTGGCCAGGGGCTGGTTTTCTTTGCTAACATTTATTGAGTACTTTACCATGTGCCCAGTACTCTCATTTTGTGTACTCTGCATGCACTAACTCGTATTATCTTCTCCACAACCCTCGTGTAGGTGTTAGTATTGTTCCCACAGAACAGTTAATATCACATGACTACTCTATGGTGAAGCTGGGATTTGAACCCAGGCTCTTGGGCCCAATGGCTCCATTTTCTTACCTATATGCTCCACCATCTTTCAACATCAGTATCTCAGCCAACCTTCCCTATAACACAAGTAAAAGGTATCACGAGACTCAAGGAATCAACACCCAGGAACTGTTTGGTGTCTTTACAGCTGCCCTGGAGATGGTGGTCTGGATCAGCCTCCTTCCCAAACTCCTCCTCCCCTAGCCCAAGTCTGAGCCACTTATTAGAAGTCTTCATCTTCTTTCCAATCGGACATTTCCAGGTCAAGGGCACTCATTCCTGAAGGATCACTACTCCAATGGCTATTACTCCTATGCTGCCAACATCCTCTATAGGCCTTGTGGTGCCTGGGCCTACCCTCAGTACCCCAGTCTGGGTCCTGGACCCCTACTTTTCTGGTGCTATAAGCAAGTTCTCGGTAATGACATTCACAGCCATTCATGGTCATTTGAATCTCCTATTGTTTAATTTTTTCTAGCTTGAAATCTGGTTTTGCCAGCTCAGCTGTAAGCTCCTTCACAAGGCGAGGACTTTGTTTTAAGTTTCTCTGCACACCCCAGGCCTTGTGGAGTGTCAGGCTCCTGGGGCACTCAATGTAGACTTTCTTAAACAATCAGCGGCACTGTCTTCCAGCCCACTTGGGACTTGCTACTTACACAATCCAGTCCACGGCCAGGATCAGAGACAGGTCATGAGTGGGCAGCCCGATGGCCTCCAGGATAATGGCGATGGTGAGGACCCCTCCAGCTGGCACGCCTGCTGCTCCAACACTGGACGCTGTGGCGGTCACTCTAGGGGGTTGCAAAGCAGGGTCAGCCATTAGCACAGACCACGGAGTGTCCATGTAGAAATGCCAAACATGCTAGCCATGGCTTGGAAACTGAAAACCACACATTCAGTCAGAGATCCTGCCAGCTGAGCCCTTGCGAGATGATCCTCTCTTTTCAAATAATGAATTCGTACTGTTCTCATTCTACATGAGGCACCTGAGATGTGGGGAGATTGGTTTTTAAACGAAATCACAGGAAAGACCTCAAGTTTTGACCCAAGCCTAAAGAAGAAAGAAAGAAGGAACTTACAGAATGGTGAAAATCTGCCCTGCGTTGAGCTGTACGTTGTTCAGCTGGGCAATGAACACCGCGGCCACGCACTGGAAAATGGCCGCACCGTCCATGTTCACAGTGGCCCCGATGGGGAGAATGAACCTGCTGATCCTCTTATCGACACCGTTGTTTTCTTCGATGCACTTGATCATGGAGGGAAGGGTCGCTGAGCTAGAGACGTAAACGAAGAGTCATAGCAAAATAAAAAACAAAAACGAGAAACCATGAGAACAGTCCCTGCCGGCCAGGCTCATGCCTCACTCATGTAGAACGCTAGAACAGAAGTAATTAGCACTATCCCAGTTTTTAGCATTCTTCCCTTGGAATAAGAGAAAGCACCCAAAATTGTTTCAAATTTCTGTCATAACATGGGACTTTGTCAACTCCGAAAGTATTCAAAATATGACTTGTTGGATTTACCTGTTATGTTATTTACGTGGACTCACCTGTTCCAAATTTCTCAAGAGCCATACATTGCCTCTAGGTATAAAATGTTCTCCAGAGGACCAAGAACTACCATATTTTTACACAAGTAACACTGCCTTCTATGTTTGTTTGCCAACCCCCAAGTATTTTCGTAACTGCTGCTTAGTAAAATGCCTGGGCGGAGGAGAGCGTGGTTAGCAAACAAATGTAGGAGGTACGTATTATTTGTGTAAAAATATGGAATTTACTTTATTTATCTGTGCATCTTCTCATTTCCTCTCTTGAATGTTTTTTTCCAAAAAGTAAAGTGCAAAGTATGATTTTCTTTTTTTCTCTCAGGCCAAAAAAACAGAAGAGGCTCTCAGAGTTTGCAAAGAGTGACCGAGTAAGCATGAAATGTCCACAGCTAGGAACAGGGCCCACTCTCTCCAGCTGGTTCTGCATGCTCCACAGCGGTTGGCTGGTACAGCTGAGAACTAGGATTGTTTCTGTCTAGGGCAGATAAACACATCTCCCTAATTCTTTTTAGCATCACCATCTTGTCAAGCCATCAAGGATGAGAGGGAGTGTGCAGCGGAGAGGCAAACGTTAAATGTGTAAATGAAACGATGTACTGACATCCTCTGAAAGTCTCTTTAACATACTTTGGAAAGCCAAATTTTTTTCTGAAGGATTTCCAATGAATGACAAGTTGCCTCTTTGTGCTGAACTGGATAATTCCACAAAACTCTGAGAGAACTGAGTACGTGCTCCTCACCACGCTGCTTCAGTCTTATTTTTTTTCTAATTCATGCATCCAGAGAGGGTGGATTGGGCAGTTTCCAGTCTAGAAACTGCCCTGCAATGTGTTTCTTGAGTTAGGTTTGCCTTCTTTCACCCAGGAAAAGGTCTTATTAATTAGGGCGAGGGATCTATAGCTGGGCTAGCTAACGATCTGCATGAGCAAGAGGAGGAGACCAGAGGTAGCCTCAGTAGATGACGGGATAAGACAGAAAACCCACCCCACAGGAATATGAAAGAGCTGTGGGGCTCATACTAAAAAAATAAGACGAGACCAATTTAGATTTTCAAGGAATTAAAATATGTGAGACACTGGTTATGCATGTCCCACAGGGCTCACCTGGTTCCATATGATGTGGCTCAGAGTAGCCAGGGGCACCTGAAGCCCACTCACCTGGAGCAGGTGGCAAATGCTGTTGCAAATGGCGTGAGGAGGCCCAGGAGAAATCTGAATGGGTTTTTTCGTGTAAAAACAAAATAAATAAGTGGCAGAACAATTCCTCCATGAATGAAATGGCCTAGAATAGATGCAAAGATGTATTTGCCCAGGCTGGTCACCAGCACGACGATGTCCTTCATTTCCACAATCTTGCTTCCAACCAGGAACATGATGCCCACAGGTACATACCTAGGGCAGAAGCACAGGGTACTCGTCAGTGAGAATGGGGATGTGGGGCAGGGATGTGCAGACCGTTCCTGATACAGAATGCAGGGACTTTCAACTCAGTGGTTTCCATCTCTCCCTTGAATAACCCTGATGCACAGTAAAGGATTGGGGTGTACCATCCCCATTTTACAGGCCATGAAACTGAGTTCAGTGAAGGTCATCACTCCCCTTGGGTAATGAGTCAGGGCCAGAACTCAGACTTTTTTGTCCTTGGGTATATTATGTTCCTAACAGATGGATGCTACCAACCATGCGGGCTCCCAAGCGGAAAGGCATGAAACTCAAGATCAAAGCCTCCAGGGACTGTGAACTTGATGTTCAGTTTTGCTCATGCTTGTTCTGCGACTTAGAAACACAGAAGACCAGCACCTACGTCACAAACTGCTGTGAGACAAAACAGAGCCAAAGCTGGGGCTTTTGTGGGGCTTTAAACCCTTTTGTGGTTTGGAAAACATGATTCTGTGGGAAAAAGTCATTAACAATGACAGGCTGGAAACACTCTAAGAGTGAGCAGATTTTTTAATGGAAGGAAGAAAGGGAGAAATTAACTACAGGAACTACAAAGAACAAAAGTCAGTTGTTTTGAATTTAATACAAATTGAGGAAGAATTTTATGACTATTGACTTTATTTGTGTGCAGATTTGGATTATATAGGTAAGCCTGTCACATATGTCAACTTTCAAAGGGTACAAAAAGATGAATAGTACAAAGTCTCTCCCCCACCTTTGGTCCCCAGGTACCTGCTTTCCCTCCCTGGAGACAGCCAATGTCACTGGTTTCTTGGCTTTTCTTTCTAGAGATATTCTAAGCAGTACTATTAATTTTAAATCCCACTGTAATACCGGAATACATTCTCCTTCCAAGAAATTAAAACTTTATATACCCGTTGACGTCGAGTCAATTCCGATTCATAGCTGCCCTATAGGACAGAGTAGAACTGCCCCATAGGGCTTCCAGTGAGCAGCTGGTGGATTTGATTTGCTGACCTTTTTGCTTAGGAGCCTGAGCTCTTAGCCACTGCACCTCCAGGGCTCCCAAAATCTTCTTTAGGCAACATCCTCAAGCCAGTCCCCTCCTCAGATGCCCACTCCTACTTCCTATGCATTTAGATACATAGGTATCTATCAAAATTTGCATGTTTATTGATTTTTCACCCCATATTATGTCTTTGGGATCTTTTACCAATATATAGAAATCTACTTCTACCTCATTTGCTTTAAATGCCGTCGTCAGATTGCAAGGGAATACCCCAGATTACTCTGCCATGCCCTCCTGATGGACACTGACATTGGCCCCAGTCTTCCAGCATTACAAACAATGCTACCAGCGCCTGTGTGCGATGTGTCTCTTTGTGCCCTCGTGCCTGTGTCCACTAGGGAGAGACACCAAGAAGTGGAACTGATGAGTTATGGGGGTGTGCACGTTTTAAACTTCAGTAAATACTGCCAAATTGCTCCCAATATAGCTGTTCCAATTCACATTGCCACTAGCTGTTTAGGAGAATAATCCTTCCCCTAGACTAGTGGTTCTCAATGGGGGTGGGGTGGAGTAGGGGTTGATTTTGCCCCCAGAGGACCTTTGGCAATGTCTGGAGACGTTTTTGGGTGTACAAAGCTGAAGGGGGGACTGCTACTGGTATCCAGTGGGTAGAGGCCAGGGATGCTGCTCAACATCCTACAATGCACAGGACAGCTCCCAGCAACGACAATGTCAATAGTGCCGCAGTGGAGAGACCCTGCCCTCACTCGCCCTCACCAACATCTCATAAAACCAAACTTCACATTTCCCTGATTTCTAATGAGGTTGGACATACAATGTTCACTGGTCATTCAGGTTTCCTCTTCTGCAAACTGCCTGTTCATATACTTTGTCAATTTCCTAATAGCTTTTTCAGTCTTTTTTCTTCTTCAGTCATTGGAACTCTGTATTAGTGCTTCTCAAGCTATCCTTGGTGAAAGACCAGTTTATTTCTATTTCCAGTCTTTCGTGGGCCAATATTTTTATAAAATGCAATAAAAATAAAATACAAGAAAAATCATCATATGCTTGGATGTTGCAGCAATGTCAAATTGCTATAAAAGTTTCAAAACGCTTATTCTCAATTTTTCTATAAATTTCATTAAGGACACATAAACAGCTTCAAACTGGCCCCAGTCCTTTGGACACTAATGCTTTGAAATGTGTGTTTGTGTGTGTGTGTACACCTTTATATACATATAGTATATAAATATATATCCATTTTTTTCAATAAGTTTTTTGTCTTTTAACTTTTTCATGGTTTATTTTGCATGCAGATGTTTTATATTTTGATGTAGGCAAACTTAGTAGCTTTTTATGGCTTTTGCTTTTATATCTTGTTAAGACATTCCCTATGCCTATATTTTCTTCTAATACTTTTAGAGGGTTCCCTTCTTTCTTTCTTCTTTCCTTTCCTTCCTGGTTAGTTTAATCCAGGAGTTGGCACCATGGGTTTTTGTAAATAAAGTTTTATTGCAACACAGGCACACTCATTCATTTACATATTGTCTGTGGCTGCTACGAGGCTACAACAGCAGAGCTGAGTAGCTGCGACAGAGACCTGAAATATTTACTACCTGGCTCTTTAAGAAGAAATTTGCCAGCCAAGTGTTCGATCCATTTAGAATACATTTCTTTCAATAGTGTAGGGTAGGCAGGTGCTTTGGTTTTAGAAGTGGTTAGTGAAGGAGATAAAGTGGAAAAAAGCTGAGGACTTAAAGAGCTATTATTAAAGAGCCTCTCCCAATTGATTGAAATACCTTAGCTGGTTAGGGCACTGCTAAGTGCAAATCTGTGTAATATGCACTTTCTGGGCAACAGGGCTCCCTCCTACTGCAGTTAGGGTCTCTCAGCAGGGTCTGCCCTACTGAATACCTGCTTAATGTGACTAGTACAACAAATTGAAAGAATGACTATAAATTGGTTTCCAAGTTCAAAGCAAGTGTCTTAACATGGGAACATCATGCATCACTTTCTTGCATAGAGTTTCCTTCAGCCCAAACCTTGGGAAGACTTTAGACTAAAAAAAAAAAAACCGGGGCGGTGGGGGATGGGTAGAAAAACCAGACATGGGATAGAAACACTTCATCCTTTCTGGAAATATCAAATCTCTCCCCAGAATGACAGCAGTCATATGAGGTTTGCAATGCTGTTTGCAATGATAGAGTCATAGTCTGGAATCTTCAGGTTGAGTAAGATAAACATTACTGGTGTGGGCTTTAGACTAGACCGTCCGTTGAGTTCCCAACTTTCCTACCAAATTCCAGGCTTTTCTCCTAAAAGCAGTCTCTCTGATGCTATCAGAAGGACAAGGATGGCAGGACCTTTAAGGATTAACAGTAAGGAAAATGCTTTGTGCATGAAGGGATAAACTAGTTTCTTGACAACTGAGACCCACAGAAGTTTGGCTTGGGTAAAACATCAGGATAAAGCTTATGAGGGATTGGGGGTGGCGCTGGTATGATTTCTGAGCAGTTGCTTTGAGGGACCTGGTCAAATTTTTATTTTTTAGCCAGGAATCAACTTAATGAATTTTATCGAACAATCATGCTTTCATTGATATCACACAAAGAAACATTTATGAATTAAAAGCCATGTAAAGAGGACTACTCCAAGTTTATACATACAGGGGGTAGAGATGGACTTGTCCTCCAGGTTGTGAAATATCACAGTAAGGGGTCCCTTTGAAGTTAGAAGGCTATTGTTTTAAGATAAAAGAGCCTTATTTGATGTAGCAGATAGCGAACTTATGGAACTCATTGCCTCACGAGATGATAGAGGCCGAACCCATAAATAGGTTATGGTGACAGAACCACAGGGGTCACTGTGGGCGATGAGGAAGGGATCAGTAACCATGGCACATACAGAACTTTCTGAGTCCTCAACAGGAGGAGACACCTATCACCACCTCCATCATTCCATTAACCACGACCAGCCCTTAGTGTACCAACCAGTCCAAAGCAATGAGCCAGGTGGCCCCACAGGGTTGATCTATAATGGAAGTTTCAGGTTCTTTTCTGGATGGCAGGAGAAAAGAGAGGCAGAGAAGGGGGGAAGAGCAATACTCACCACATAATCCAGGACACCAGCACCATCGTCGCGTCATTGAAGGCATTGAAGAAACGGATGAGCTCTTCTCCTTCTGAGCCTAGTTTCTTTAGGGCCACTCCTAACACCAGGGCAAAAAGGACCAATCCCAAAATGTTCATCCCTTCGATCTCAGTGCCAATGGGGATCTACAGGACCAAAGGGGAGAGAATGGTCCAAGTTCACAACAAAGGAGAGACGATTAAAGATGAAAATTTGCTTGGTGTCTCTACCAGACTGAAACACCAGCCCAGAATAAGAAAATGGTTCATGTTTTCTTTAACCCTTAACGATTTCACTTTTGTGAATTAGTTGAAGAAACCCAAGGGGAGATGGAGTCTGAGGATATAGAAAGTCAACAAATCAAAGTTTGCCTAGCTGTTAACTCTAAAAGCTGGTCAAAAATGGCACAGGTTGAAGCACAAAGCAGTGAGCTCCTGTCACTGGATATAGTTAAGAAGAGGTTGGATAATCACCTTGAAGGGTTCCTTTTAAAAGAATAGCTGGTTGTTGAGCAGTTCCTTCAAATCAAGAGTCAATGACTGCAACTTTGCCTCCTAAATGCCAACACATTGTTTATTGTTAGCATCTTACAGTGGCCTCCCAGCTGACTCACTTCACAAAAGGTGTTCAGGATCACCATGGGCTTTTCTAGGACATTCTTTCCTAAATCCTTGACTTAAAATGTATAAGCAGAGTGTATTCTTTATTTTTTCTAGCAATGCTGAATCTCACTGCTGCAAGCATGTATTAGACAAACTTCTTATCCCACCATACATAACCAGTTATGAAATTCTGACCAGGAAACATATGTCAGCATGGTAAAGATGGAAAGAGCATTTTAACCCTGGATCCCAGTTCTAGTCCAGGCTCTGATATTAACCAACTTCTAAGATGAAGCAAATTGGACTAAATTAGTAGCTTTCAATTTTTTTTTTTTTTTTTTTAAGTAGAACTTTTCCTTCAATCAAAGAAAGGCCCTTTACTCCTAGGGAGACAAGAGGTGCCTCCCCCCTCTCCACGACGGTTTTGTGGCACAGCTTGAAAATCACTGGAATGAATAACCCCTGAGGTGCCCTGTCCCTCCCGGCTCTCACAGTTTATATGTCCAGAATATGAGTGCCACAAAGGCTGGGACTAGTCCAGTGCCTGGCAAACAGCAGGCACTCAAAACATATGTGTGAACGAATGATGGCTACAGCAAGTTAAGCCCATAAGACAGGCATCCTCAACTCTTCAGAAGCCATGATTTCACACTGTTACCTTTGCGAGAAATACCAAGAAGCATGTTTATTTCTTAAATAAAATTACCACAAATATGATTTTAACGACTTTTCTGATTTCCAAGTTAACTGGAGACAGCTAGGTAACAGGTATAATCCACATGCTATGAGCCAAGAACCATGAATTCAAAAGACTGAATAAAAATTGATGGGGTAGCTTTTCATTTGTTTACAACTTTTATCATGGAAAAATCTAATAGAAAATCTAATAGAAAAGCTGAAATACAGTACAAAGATACCATATACACCTCTTTTGTTTATAATGATTTATGTTATCTATAGAGAAGTCATAGTAATAATAGTTAAGGAGCATAGGCTTTGGAATCTGACTTCTACCACTTCCTAGCTGTGTGACTATGGGTAAGTTACTTAACCTCTCTGTGACTCTGTTTCCTATCTATAAAATGGGGATAATAACAGTTGTTGTTGGTTGTCATCAGGTTGATTCCAACTCATGGCAATCCCATGTGTTACCGAATAGAACTGTTTTATAGGGTTTTCTTGGCTAACATATAAGGTTACTGTGAAGATTAAATATGTTAATATTTAACATGTAAAGTACTTAAACTATGTCTGGCAAATGAAACCCAACAAGTATTAGCTATTATTATTATTCCAATGGGATATTTTGTTAGAGATCACTCTAGGCTCATGCTGTCTGGAGTATGTTTTTCTTGCAATGTTATTTTAACCCCACAGACAGTAAGACTTCTGAATATCATCATTCTCTCTTGGATCTTGACCTATTGAAGCTACGGTCGGTACAGTTTAAAGAGCTATGGGAGAGGGAAGACTTGGATTTTGGTCCTTGCCCTCATACTAGCTTGCAACGGGGCCCTAGAGAGGTCAACACTGCTAAGATTCTATAAGCTAGATGGCTAACACTTGGCATTGACCTGTTAACTCACATTTTTTGTCCATGTCCCAAGCCCTAAATGGAATTAAGAGTTAAGAATCGGTGCAACCAGGGAATTCAAGTACTCATCAAAAGTTGGTTTTAGCAGGTCTAAAATTCCAAGGGAGCCCTAATGGCTTAGTGGTTAAGCGCTATAGTTGCTAACCAAAAGGTCAGCTGCTCGAATCCATCAGCTGCTCCTTGGAAGCCCTATGGGGCAGTTCTACTCTGTCCTATAGGGTCGCTATGAGTCGGAATCCACTCAAAGGCAATGGGTTTGGTTTCGAGTTTAAAATTCCAAGCTGTGGTGTTCGGGGTCAGGCAGTTCTACTCTCTGACTTGAGAGCAATGACAGTAATTCTCCCCGTGCAGTGACTCTGTCGAGGAGGCCAGCAGCAGGTATGCTGTTGTAACACACGTTGGCAAACTTGGCAGAGGGTGGGGACAGGGGACTGCAGACACAACCAGAGCTGCATCCTGAGCTGGGCTCTTCGCTGGTGCGTCTTTACACTTACTGCCCCTGCTGCCTAAAGCACTCTTCCCCAGGTCTCCCCATAGTGCCTCACCTTATCAGAAAGGCCCCACCCCCAATACACACACATGCTTTCTCTGTCCTCTTGCCATGCTTTACTTTTCCTAGCACTTATCACCAACTTATCACCAACTCACACAAGTACATATATACATATATATATTTGTGTTTCCTTCCACCGGCATGTCAGCTCTGTCGGAGCAGGGTTTTGTCTGTATTGACCACTGCTACAGCCCAGCATCTAGGAAGGGCACATTAAAAAAAAAAGTTGCCGTCAAGTCAATTCCAACTCATAGCAACCCTATAAGACAGTAGAAATGCCCCATAGGGTTTCCAAGAAGTGGCTGGTGGATTCCAACTGCTGAACTTTTGGTTAGCAGCCAAGTTCTTAACCACTGTGCCACAAGGGCTCCATAATGAGTGTCAAATAAACCACTGTTTAATCTGTTTAATGAACAAATGACTCAAAGCCTCAGAGGTGTGCATCCATGGCAAGTTACCATACAGGATCAAAGTGGGCATGCAAGATGGTGTCCTGGTGGGGGGCGGGGCCTTTCTAGATATTCTTGGGCCTCTGTGCCCCCAGCTTCTCAATGTGTCACCAACATCCCATCCTGAGAGACAAGGGCCATCCCTGCTATGTCTTTACAGTTTTAGAGGCACAGGGTTTATGAAACCCTGGAACCAGCAAGGAGACATCACACCTCTTTGCTCAAGTCTGAATCCTTGCGTTTCTGCCTTACATTTACAGTAGGTACAAGAGCATGTCCCCTGGGGTGGAGCTTGTGGGTCACTGGCATTTACAACGGGGGGTCAGTGCAGCCAGTGAATGCCATATTCTCCCATAACGTGAAGGCACCGCGGAGACAGCCAGTGTTCTAGGCTTTACTCATCACTCTTGGTTTCAAATAGTCTTGCTCAGTCCTGAGGACTGTCATTTCGAGTAATTTGTAATGGGAATAATGAATCCTACCTGATCAGGTTGTCCTCAGGCTCAAACGAGATGACATGGGGCAGCCATCTGTACTGTAAAGGTGTCATGCAGGGCAAGCCACTTTCCTAGAGTGGGCCCAGCTGACTCCCACATTACAATTAGTGATGCTTTAGAGTCCAGGGATTGTCAGAAGGGGGCCAGTGGGCCTCCAGCCACCCCACTCTGGCTCTACCACTTTGTCTCAGGGCCAGAGGGTGGTGAGCGACACCCATCCTGTTTAACCAAGGGCCACTGACTAAGTCAACATTTCTCAACAGGAGAGGCCCATCCCCTCAGGGAGTTTTGGAATGTGTGGTGCTGGTTTTGGTTGTCTTAATGATTGTGAGGTCTTACTGGGAAATAGCTGGCAGGGTCTCAGGGACACCAAATGCCTTGCAATGCATAGAGCAGCAAAGCACAGACTTCCCTACACCCCACCGGCTTCTGAGCATCCCACCAGATAGTCATGGAGGGAAACACCTATTTATAATCATCTGCACTGAGCGCTAACTCCATTTTGTACATAAACACAGTTTTGTTTTATACATACTTTTAATGTACACTAGATTTTCCAGGAATGTTAAGCTGATGTAAACTGAAGGAAGACTGTAATCTGTTTTGTTCTGAACTTTACCAAGTGTTGTTCCCTGTTTTAGAAAATTACATTACCAACAGCCAAAGTGCCGAGAGTACCCAAGTCTGCAGCTGTAGCTGTTGCATTCAGGGTGGTTCGATACACATATACAAAAATATTTATTTAGCCCTTATTTCAAAATGTTCCCCTAAAAAAAGTGCCAACAATATTCAGTTGAATTCCATCTCTGTTGACCCATTGCCATCGAGCTGATTCTGACTCATAGTGACCATACAGGACAGAGTAGAACTAACTGTCCAGTAGGGTTTCCAAGGCTGTAATCTTTACGGAAGCAGACTGCCACATCCTTCTCCCCTGGAGCAGCTGGTGGGTTTGAAACCACTGAGCTTCCGGTTAGCAGCCAAAGCACTTAACCACTGCACCACCGGGGCTCCTTGAATCATCTCACTGCTTTAAATATAGACTTACTAATTCTAAGTAGATGCAAGTATCTGAAAAACTTCATTACGTCTTCTTACATAGCTGTGCCTTTACATGGTGAAATACATATTGGGTTACTATAAATTACTTGACTTTTATTTCTCCATTATGTTGTTTTTAAAAGTTATTCACAGAGGTATGTTAAATCACCTATTAGTATTTCCGGGTAATAGAAATGGTGTTATAAAATATTTTTGGAAGAAAGGGAGGTTAGTTCCAGTTGGACTAAAGTGCTCCACTGAGGATCCCAGAGCTACAGACGCTGCATATGTCTGTCGGTAAATGACCCATTAGCAAATCTAACCCATGTGTTTCAAACGGTCCATTCAAACCCCTGCTGAGCAAAAGCGGGATCAGGTATGTCCCTTCAGTTAAGAAACGTTATTAGCTTTGCAGATATTTTTCGTAAGTGATCTTATAAATAGCTTTACCTTTTCAATGCTTACGTTTCCAGAGCTTGTGTTGGAGGTTACCATTTTATAATCGGTGGCATACTGTAAGCAAGAAAAAGAAAACCCTGCTGTCAGTTCACACGTTAAGACTAAGCGAGGGGAACCGAGAGGGCTGCTGGGTCTCTGGCTACCTGCACTATTATTCCAGCCAAGTGTTATGGGCATTCCTTACTTCCTTGGCCGGCCTAACGAGGGCCTTTGAGAACTGTGTAAAGTTACATTAAGACCAAGATAGCATGTACTCCAAGAGGTCCCTGGGTTATGTAGAGACCCAAAGAAATGGAGGATATCCTAATGTTCCTTGGGCAATGGTTTGGAGGAGGAGGTCTGTGCAATTTCATGCCCTCAAGCAACCCACAGTCCATATTGTTTGAATAGCCTTTGTATTAATTCCAAAATGCCAGAGTTCACTTTTCAATGTGTCATTTTATTTTCATTCATTTATTTATGCTCCACTCTGTTCCAGAACTTATTTGAGCATGACTGCTTTTCAGCATCTGTTTCTAATTTGGCTTGGACCTCCACTCTCCAAAGTAAGGTACGGGAGGCAAGATGGCATTTTCTGGCCATCGAGCATTGGGGGACCCACTTATCAGAAGTGTGTTGTCTCTCCAACTTTGGTCCCACAGCTGACTGCCCATCCTCCTGATGGGGCACGCAGGAGCCACCTGTGGCAGTGGGCACCATCGAGTGGAATCTGTTATAAAACGGTCCTCCTGACCCCGGCTAAAGGCACCCAGCTCCTGGGCTGTCCAGAGGAGCCTATTACTAGGTAGTGTGGCACCGAGGCCAGCTTCAAGCTTGCCTTTGAGACTTCAGAGCGGCAGTGTCTGGCTGTCACGTGATCAAGTTGGCAGGAGAAACAAAACCCACCCACACATCTCCTGCCTCACATTATATATACAAGTCACACCTGCGCTCTATTCAGGTTTTAAAGGAAAACACAAGCAAAAGGAGAGGTTGTAAATGGAAACAGAAGTTTTGCTGGAAAAAGGTGATCAGATTAGACAATTTCATCGAGACATCTATATTCCTTTTCTGTATAAAGAATGGCTACAGGGATGTTACTTGCAGCATTGCTAAAAATAAGGAAAGACTAGGAGCAACATGAATACCCTTCCACTGATAGCGGAAAGTTATGAGATGCTCATACAGTGGAATACGCTCCAAAAAAAAAAAAAAAAAAAAACCAAACCTATTGCCGTTGAGTTGATTCTGACTTACAGTGACCCTATAGGACAGAGTAGAACCGCCCCCCAGAGTTTCCAAGGAGCGCCTGGTGGATTTGCACCGTCAACCTTTTGGTTAGCAGCGGTAGCACTTAACCACTATGCCACCAGGGTTTCTGAATAGTCTATAGCCTTTAGCAATTGTGCAGAAGGCTATTTACTGACTTGAGAAATGTTCACAAGATACTGCCTTATACAAAACAAGCGGAGAATGGGCTTATTTTTATTTTTAAAATCTGTGCGTGTGCATGCATAGAAAAAACACACCTGAAGGATGTTAACAGAACGTTAACAATGAATAGCTCCAGTAGTGATTGTTGTTTTTAGTTGCCTTTGAGTTGATTCCAACTCATGGCAACCCCATGTGTGAGGAGTGGAACTGCTCCATGGGGTTTTCAAGGCTGTGAACTTTCAGAAGCAGATCACCAGGCTTGTCTTCCCAGGCACCTCTGGGTGGTTTCGAACCGACAGCCTTTTGGTTAGTAGTTGAGCGTTTAACCTTTTGCGTCCCCCAGGGACTATAAGGCAGTGATTACAAGTGATTTTTATTTTCTTCCACTTTTTGGTATTTTATTTTTTTGTAATGAGTACATGTTATTTTTATAGTCGGGGAAAAAAAAAGATAAAAGTATATTTTTAAAATTCCAAAATATTTAAGAGATAGCCAAAATGTGATTTGAGGGTATTTTTCAAGTGATGTGAAAAGATGCTGGAACCAGGAGGATGTTTTAGAAGTTCTGTTGTTGATTTTTAAAACTTCAGGGCCCACCTATAAAAATGTAGGCCAATATGACCAGGTTTTGTTAACACCTTCTCTCCCTGTTCCACCTTACCTAATTACACAGGAGTAATTTATACACCTCCCCCCACCCCACCCAAAGTTTCATATTTTTAGCAAAGCATCAAGACCTTACCGTCCGAAAAGCTGCAACCACTAGATTTGAGGGCAACAGGTTTCTGTTGGAAAAGAATTCGTTTTGTTAGTATTCTTAAAATATAACGTTTACACTATCTGCTTTAAGATACTGATTCATCACAGCCCAACATGTTGTTCTCGCTCCTTCCACACCCAACTGTGCCTCGTCTGCTGGGCCACAAGAGATATTCTGAGTGCACCACTTTTTATCTTCATCTCCTCTTGATATTTAGGCTTAACTGTGCCCAAATGAACCATAATAACTGCATCATTTTCTTTTCCCTTAGAGGTTAAGTGCTATTGCAGTGGTTTTCAATGAGGAGTGGCACTTCCCACTGAGGAAATCCAAGGGGGTGTTTTCACTGTCACAATAGTTGGAAGGCATTCCTGGAACTGGGGGGAGTGTGCTGGGGAGAAGTGCCCAGCCATTCGTCCTGCTGTGTGCGGCCAAGTCCTGTACAACAAATTGTCTCCAGGCCCACATGACTTTCCAACATGCTGTATATGACATACCTGTGGACGGAAACCTTGTTTATAATTATCTGAACCTAGACTAACTCCAAAACAAAGTGTTTTTTGCACAGTTTGAATAGACACTGAATTTTCCAGGAATGCAATTACTATGTAAATTGTGGGAGGATTACTTTGTTTTGTTTTGTTCAGAATATTTTCAAGCATTGTTCATCTTTCTGGAAAATCATAGCATCAGTGGCAGCTTGTAGGATCTGAGTCTTTAATTCCACGCACCAGTATCCAGTATCAGTCTGCATTTATAGCTGTCTCATTAACGGTGATTCTAAATTCAGGAGCAAGCATCCAACTACTTTGTTTTAGAGCATTTACATACTGAAACACATTATTTTACTATAAATTATTTTCCTTTTGTCTTTTATATTACAGGTAATCATGTTAATGTTTTAAAATTATGTGTGTGTGTGAATTCTCTTTATGGATTTCATTTCAGGAAGAAGGATATTATATAACATTTTCTATACTTGTTATAAAAGGAGAGCAATAGAGCTGATCAAGTTAAGCTAGATTTTGAAGCCAAAATTTATTCATGCAAACAGCTTTTATGTAGGGTCTCCTTTGGGTCAGGCTCTGGGCAGGATGCTAGTTTTGATATACAAGAATTCCAGCTGATGGTCCATTTGTTCTACCCACATACTGCAAGAAACATCTGATAAAGTCTAGAAGGGCAAGAGACTAATCCTTTGTAATTTGTGCCAAACTTACCGGCTAATTCTTACTTCTGTGAGTGGGCTGGTTACCTAGGACTAGAATCTCCAGTTAACTATTTGCAGAACATTCGCTTTCAGAGGGAGGCAAGTCTGATTGCAACCCAGTTGTGGCAGGCAGAATCCAAGATGGCCCCAATGATCCCTGCCTCCTGGTATTCACACCCTTGTGAATCCCTTCCCCTTGAGTGTGGGTGGGACCATTTGCTTGCTTCTACCCAATATAATACAGCAAAGGTGATGCAATGTCACTTCCACTTCCATGATTTGGTTACATAAGACTGTGACTTCCATCTTGCTAGCAGACTCTCTTTACTGCCTTCTGGGCTTGCATGCTTTGATGAAACAATCTGCCATGCTGGAGTGTCCCAAGTGGCAAGCAACTAAAGGTGGCCCCCAGACAAACAGCCAGCTAAGAACGGAGGTCCTTAGTCCAACAACGCTCAAGGAACTGAATTCTGCCAACTACCACATGAGTTTAGAAGTGGATTCTTCTCCAGTCGAGCCTTAGGATGAGACCCCAGCCCTGACTGACACTTTGATTGCAGCCTTATAAAAGACTCTGAAGCAGAGAACCGAGCTAATCCATGCCAGAATTCCTCCATCACAGTCAGATACTATGAGATAATAAATGTGTGTGGCTTTAAGCTGCTACATTTGTGGTAATTTGTTACACAGCAATAGATAACTAATACACCAGCCAAGAGACATTAGTTAATGAGATGCAAAAACAATTTCATTAGAACACTTAGGGTGATCCCACAGCTTTTAGAGATTGTAGCACAGCCTTTCCCAAACTTGTCTATGAAACCTGAATTACCTTTAACATACAGAACACCAACAGGTACATGCCTGCATTTTAGCAAACAAAAGGTGATCTTTCACCGAATTAACCGTTGCAAAATTGTGGCCAGAAATTTGATTCCTATCACAGTATATTTACTTAAAAAAAAAAAGTAGAAACAGAACAGCAACTTATACGGGCTCTTCTTTAGTGTATAGATGAATAGTGACTACATTTGCATATTATTTGCATTACAAAGCAACTTTCTTACACATTTCAATCTTGTGGGATAGATTTGGTATCTCATTTCCATTTGCTGTGTTAGAAGCAGAAATGTTCCTGAACCAAGGTTTCCTACATCCACCATATGGTAGCTCTCAGTAGTACTAAGACTAAGCCAGCCACCGGGTTCTCTCCCCAGGAGGACTGGGAAGTTAAGGAAAGAGTCAGGTTAGAAGACCTCCACCTGCCCCACAGGGAACAACTTCCCTTGCAAACCCCTCACATCCTTCAGGGATTACCTGTTTCCACAACTGGTACAACTACAGCCTTTCCCACAGCTTTGAAATGCGCTCTTTTCTGAAGAGCACAAACTCTGTTTGTTTAAACCCTTCTATCTGGCCTGCTTGGTCTCTGTTATGAGAAATAACCCAGGCCTGTAAACCCAGTACTATCTGACCCAGAAGAGACTCTTGACTGTAACCCAGGATTTCTAGACCAAACAGCCACTGACATACTGACCTGCATTTAGACAGTCTACGATATCTAGTCTACAAAACCTAACGGGAACAGAAGGGTAAAGAGCATACTAGAGGCAAAGTGGCAACTCTTGCCAAAAAAATCAAGTTCCTAAAAAGGCCACGATCTGTTCTGGCAGATTCTTATGAAAGCTAAACATACACTTACTATATGACCCAGCAATTCTAGATATTTACCCAGGAGAGATGAAAATATATGTCAGCAAAAAGGACCTGTACATATAATAGCATTATTCATAACAGCCCCAAGCCCCAATGTGCATCAGCAGATGAATGGATAAGAAAATTGTGATGTACCCATGTAGTAGAACACTACTTGGCAATAAAAAGGAACAAAAAGGATATACAACATGGTTAATCTCAACAACACTGTGCTGAGCAAAAGAAACCAAACACAAAGGACCATAGACTCTGGAGATATCTGCATCATTTGGCACAACATAGTTCATAAACCAATGTTCTACATCCTGCTTTGGTGAGTAGCTTGCAAGCGGCCATCTAAGATACAACTACTGGTCTCTTCCTCTCCGGAGCAAAGGAGAGTGAAGAAAACCAAAGACTCAAGGGCACAATTAGTCCAAAGAACTAATGGACCACATGAACCACAGCCTACATGACCCTGAGACCAGAAGAACTAGAAGGTGTCTGGCTACCACTACCAACTGCTCTAACTGGGATCACAACAGAGGGTCCCAGATAAAGCAGGAGAAAAATGTAGAACAAAAACTCAAGTTCACAAAAAAGACCAGACTTACTGGTCTGACAGAGACTGGAGGAACCCCTGAGACTACGGCTCTCCGACACCCTTCTGACCTGGAACTGAAGCCATTTGTGAAGACCACCTTCGAGCCAAACAATAGACAAACCCATAAAATAAACAGTAACACCTAAGAGGAACATGTTCCTTAGAACAATCAACTATATGAGATCAAAAGGGCAACATTTACCCAAAAGCCAAGATGAGAAGACAGGAAGGGGTAGAAAAGCAGGACAAAAGGAAACGGGGAAACTGGGGCAGAAATGAGAAGCGTGCTGACACATTGTGGGGAATGAAGGCAAGGCCATGAAGCACTTTATGTACAGACCATCAGATGGGAATCTAACTTGCTCTGTGAACTTTCACCTAATGCACACACACACAAAAAGCGAGATGAAGAGTACATATTGGATGACTCCATTGATCCGAAACTCTAGAAAAAGCAAAACTAATCTATAATGACAGAAAGCAAATCAGCCGCCTGTGGCCAGGGGTTAGAAAGTTGGGATTGCTGAGAAATCATGTGTGACGGAAACGTTCACAGTGTCTTGATTGTGGTGGTGGTTACATGGGTGTATACACTTGTCAAAACTCACTGAACTGTACATTTGCAAACTGTAAGATGGATGCATTTCGTTGTATGTAAATCATACCTCAAAATAGTTAAAAAAGTAGAAGGTAACAGTGTGAACTGTGAAGGAGATTTTATTTTACAACCAAAAGATACATACGTTCAATGAGATGAATGAATTTTCTTTAGATTCTACACCTCAGCACTCAGATATCAATCTATAGGAAGGAATTACCTGGGGGCTGTTAGCTGAAGCTCATGCACCTACTTAAAACGTGCTCCTTTTACTTGGCCCCTCTGGTTGCCACAGATCAGCAGCAGTTCTCTCCCAGGGCAAGGAGCTCAGGCTACAGGATAAAGCAAAACACCTTTCTGCTCTCTTCTTACCCTTCTCTCCTTGGCTTTTAAGTACAGACGTTGCAGTGCCCTCTAGCTTTTCCTTACTCCTGAGCTCTCCCTGTCTTCAGGGATCAGATGCTTGTGATGCAAGCAGTTTTGCTCCCCAAAGCTCTGTCTACAGTCACTTTTCCCAACTCTTCACATTCACAGTAACTTCACTGGCTCCCAAAACGGGGGACATATGAGCTGGAAGGGATTTTAGAGGTGATCTAGTTCAACGCCCTCCTTTAGTACACAGAGAAACCAAGGCCCAGAGACATTAAGTTGATACATCTCCCATGCATGCTCCATCTAGACCAGCACTGTCCAATAGAACTTTCTGGATAATGGAAATGTTCTATATTTGTGCTGTTCAATATGGTAGCCATGTGACTTCTGACCACTTGAAATGTGCCTAGTGCTACTGAATTTTTTATTTTATTTACATTTAAAATAAGTAAATTTAAATAGTCACATGTGGCTAAACAAAACAAACGCGTTGCCGTCAAGTTGATTCCAATTCATAGTGACCCTATAGCACAGAGTAGAACTGCC